ACCCTTCTCTGTGCATGACTCCATGTGGTGCATGCAGCATATCCTTGACCAGTAGAACCATACCAATTCTACTGTCAGGGGCCCTCTGCATTTGCAATTGTAAGGGCAGAATTTTTCCTTGATTGTCTTCACTAAAATTTATACCAGCTCTTGTATCACATCTCTCTATGAAGTGTTTTGGGATGCTAGTCAGCATACAATTATCACTTCACCACAATATCCTTGCTGCTGCTGACAGAAACTTTTATCCTCTAACATCACATCCATTTATGTATGTATGTAAGCCAGTTTAATTCTTAATGACCTCTAACTCCAGTACTTACCACATTTTTAATACAGAATAATCAAATAATTCACTAAAATTACTATTTAAGGTATTGTATCCTCTGAAATTTTTTCTAAATGTTCCAATGATTTTTTAAAAATAAAATAAGGGATATTCTCAAAATCAGAGATCTTATAACAATGTTTTTTCTCCTGAATCAGAGTATTTCACATAGTTACATTTTTAGTGAGATAAAGGGTTTACAAAAATTGAATTTTAAAGTAATTCTTACACGCTGAAAAGTGAAGCAGGGTAGCAGAAGGAATGGAGCTGTTAAATGCAATGTTTACTCCTCTCAGTGGATTTCACAGTAGCACAGTGTAAATAGATTTCAAAAACCAAAACCTCTTTTTCTGATTTGAGGAGAGAATGTAGTTCTGTTACTAGGACTCAATTATCAGTGAATCGTGTTAAAATGTTATTCTTTATATGGGGTGGATGAATTTGAAACCTCCATTCATATTTGAAAGATATCCGCTGTTGTTATCTGGAGATGAAGGTTGGTCTTGTGGTTAAACCACAGGACTGGGAGTCAGATGATCCAGATTCTATTCCTGGCTCTGCTGCAGACTTCCCCTAGGACTGCAGTCACTTAGGAGGACTACATTTTCAAAAGTGGTATCTTATTTTGGGTACCTCAATTTTTGGTTGCCAAACTTTAGACATTTAGGACATGGTTTTCAGTGGTTATGAATACCCAGATGTCCCACTGACTTCAGCTGGAGTTATGGGTGCTCCTTCCCCCTTCAAATCAGACCTGAGGATGCCTCATTCTCCACTCCTAGGAGCTCATGTAGTAAAAAAGTGAGTGTAAAATGCTACCACTGGCAAAAGTGAGTGGAGACATCTAATTTGGTAGCATTTTGCACAGGTCTAAATAACTACACAGTGTGCAAGGCAGTGGAGAGTCAACTCCAGAGTGCCTGAGGGCTAGAAAAGAAAGTTTTCCCCACCTGTAACAGAGCATAGCAGGGCCCCCTTTGCTCCTGCCTCTGCTCCAAAAACCACTCAGAGACCTTCTGGCTCAGCAATCACTGGAACAGTTTATTTACAGTGTGAAATCCCACCCCCTTCTCACTATACACAGGATGGAGGTTTCATTCTGAAGAACTTCCCAGTCTCTGTAGCCACAAGAGACAAGCTTCCACTCTCTGACTTCCCCGTTTCTGTCTACCCCCTTTGGCCTCCTTCCTCTGAGGCTTTTATGCAGCCCCAGGCTAACCACCTGGCAGCTGTTTCCCCTTTGCCAATCAGGCACAAGTTTCTCTAGCCAGCTCCAATTTCCCTCCCTTATGACAGAGGGCTGGCTCAGCAGTTCTTGTCCAGCACCATCATACCACACCACAAAGAAATGTTAAAGATGTTTCCCCCCTCCACATACAAATATATATTTTATTAGATGTCAAAGTCTCGATCTCTAGAATCATATGGTTGGATCTACAAAAGAACATTGCCATTTCCGCAGAAAGGTTTTGTGTAGTTAAGCTCCTTTCAGCAGAATTAGTTAAGCTCATCTAACCAGAATTAGTGTAACTGAGAAAGAAAAATGAGTTAGCTTTAGAATTCTGATCAAAGTCCTTCCCGTTATTTTTCTCATAATACTGTAGTTATAAGTAATTTCATTACAAAGAAAACACATTCATCTACAACAAAAATGGCATTCGGCAAGCAAACATGAAACTATATTGGCAAAATACAATAGATATACACCCCAATTTTACAATAGTCTCACAAGATATTCAGAAACGTCAGCAAAATCAGGATTTCATAACTTTTGGTTTCAACACAATTTTTGGGCCACAAACAAGTGGTTGTTAACATGGCGATTTAGATTTTTGACACTTGAGAAACTCAGAGATGTTTTATTGTAATGAGGTGGTCATAATCTGCTAGGGCAGGAGGAGCCACCCTTTCTGTCAAATGTCTTATAAAAATTGTAAGTAGTCACACTTGCTGAACATTTCAGACTTGTTTTATATACTATTTTACAGTCCACCAAATCCTATGTAATGTTTAGTCCATTTTAGGGGTAGTTTTGTGTGGACTACAAAATGTATTGTTTAGTGAAGTTTAGATTAATGAGGTTCTTTTGTATTAATATGTTTATCTTGGCAGCAGAATAATACAGCACAGTAAAAAAAAAAAGATCAAAGCAATGAAGACTAGTTTGATAAGGAAACATTTCCTGTTAACACTTCCGTGCAGATTCTTTCCCCCAACTCTGCTCAAAGTGGGTAGAAAATGGGCTCAACTCCAGAGCAGGCAAAGAGCAAGTGTATGCAGCTTCCCTGCACCCTCGGGTGTAAAGGATGTGGTGAGGAGTGGGGACAAGGGTTGGAACAGGGATGGTAGTGGTGTAACTGCAGGGTACTGTGCTCCATTAACTCCAAACTTACAGACAGTCTCTTAGTAACCATTACCAAATGGCAGCATTTATAACAACTCACACACTGCTCTGAAGTAGGTTGGGGCTGACCAAAATATTAAGGGAGCTGTCTGCACCCCCTTTTCATTTAGTACAGCAAAGAACTCTGGGACAGCAGAGAATCTGGCCTTTAAAGTTTATTCTCCTGTTTATGTGTGCGGGTAACTCCCATTCACATTAGCACGGTTTCTGTGTGTATGCACATCAAGATAGCTCCGAGAGGCCTCTTAATATGAAAGTCAATGAAAACCCATTCATATCAATACAGGTCAGGTGTAGTACATTACCTGATAAGCTTCAGCAATCTGCTTAGTCATTAGGTTATTATCTTCTATTGTGAAGTCCTATTCTCTTGCAAAAGCCACAAGACCCTTTCTAACCAGCACACAGTGAGTAGTTGTCTCCATGACTTTATGAGTTACAGCAAGTGGTGTTCTGATTTTTTTTCAGAATGAAAATTACATTTTTACGCAATCGTTATTTTTTCTAAATCAGTGCAACAACAAAAACAAGGGCTAAAAATACCTGAAATTAAAACCAAGACATATACAAATATTAGGTTCCAAGAATAGATAAGGGTATTATTTTTATTAAAAATCTTCTTGATTGTTTTTTTATATGACCTTCAAAGCAACTAGAGCTTCTATCTTGGCCTAAACATAACAAACACAGACTAGATACAGACCAAATTTACACTGCACTCTTAATATTTTGCCCTAGCTTTATATAATCCTAGGTTTTCTCCTGCAAGATTTTTCTGCCCTAGACCCATTGACCTCAAAAAAATAATAATAAAGTAATGTTGAAAATACGCAGCTCTGATAAATCTTGAGTTTGGTTTTGGTGTTGTATTTTGAACCACACTAACCTTATGGGTAAATGAATTGAGTAGTGTCAGCCTCAATTGTTAGTTAATATTTCAAGATTGATGGGCGTTAGGTTTCCATTAAAAAAATGCTCCAAACCAGTTCCGCAAGTAGACCTTGGTGAAAAATTTCAGACAAAACTTTTTCACCATAAAATGCACATTTGGGTCAGCCAAAACATTTTGCAAATTCATGTCAAATTTCCCCAACTGTTTTGGTCAACCCTTCTCCGCCAAACCTTCCAAAAAAATTCCCCCAAAATTGCATGTTTTGACATTTTCTAAGAGAAATGTTTCAAGTTTGTTTCAAAACTAAGTTTACCTCAATTTCATTTTAAAACAAGTGAAAAAATCAAACATTTCATTTTGGGTCAAAAACAATTTTTTTTTAGCTTTGTCAGTTCACCAAAAAATACTAAAGCTTTCATTTCAAGTCAACCTGAAACTTTTTTTTATTTTAACAAATTTCAGTTCAGCTAGCAAACCAAAAAATTAATTATTTGCACAGTTCTAACTTTAAGGCCCCCACTTTTATCCCAATACTTCATACATTTTTTTAAAAGTATATATTAATATACATATATAAATAAATGTACGGTCATGCCCAGTCAAAGCTGCTGCTGCTGCTCTAAAATGACCAGGATACAGCTATAATGGAAGAGCTGCATCACATCGAATTATTCCATCTTTGCTTGAGTAGCCTCCTCGTCTTACTACATAACTCCCTATTTCTTCATCATTCTCAAAATCTGGACATAATTAGTTTAAAAAGCTGTCAAGTATTAGACACAAATTCTGATTTTTTTAAAAAATCTGAACGTTCCCCAAGATTGCACTTAAAAAATTAATATTTTAAAGGCATCAAAGAACAACACAATGGCCACTATTTTGTTAGGACCCCCCCAAACCCACCCCCCAAATTGTGCTTATGTGCCTTTCACTTTTCACTACTTCCAATGTTGGCCTGACATTTCCAGTGATACAAGAGAAAAAATGAGGATCTGATACCACATTTCTTGTCCATCCAAAAATGTCATTGAAGTCCAGGGGAATTTGGGGTGTGCAAGAAAAGCAGATGTTAAGAAGCAAAGTAAGAAAACATGTTTATTTCATTCTTTATTTGGAACTCACTGAAAAATGCAAAATGTTTGCCAAGCAGAAAAGCGCAAAACTGTTAGGGAAGGACATTCTATTTATAGATTTCTAAGAGGATATTGTAAATTCATTTTATGTAAAGCATCAGAAAATGAAACTGTGATGGAAACATGTTCAGTAAAATGATCATTTATCCCTCCCTTTGCCTGTATTGAGCTCAACTAAAGACTGGATTTAATACACTGATAACACCAACTATTTCTGATTATACATAAAGTGCCTTGCCTCACCTAGTTCCTTGTTAGAACATGCCTGATGACTTCATTCCATATTTTTCAAATGAGTAGAAGTGGATCTTTTAGGTTTGCAGATACCTAAATAACTCAGAGGACCTAGTCATTTCTCCTAGGTATTTGGTTTATGAGGGAGGAGTGTTGTAGAGGGAATATTTAGATATGGGTGTGTTGTGGAACTCTGGGGCAGGGGGTGTCCATGGGGATGAGGCGCTCTCAGGCAGTGGGGGTGGGGGGAAGGTCCACAGGGGTGAGACATTTTGGAGCTCTGGGGCAGTAGGGGACTTCCATGGGGATGGGTTTTGGCCCTCTAGGGCAGTGGTCTCCAAAGTTTTTTGATCGCGCACCCTATCAGTAAAAAATTTTTGAGTACGCACCCCCGCCGCGCCGAAGCAAAAAAAATCAAAACAAACAACCCTCCTCCTGCCACTCACCCCCATGTGCGAGCCCCACTTTGGAGACCACTGCTCTAGGGCAGTGGGATGGAAGGAAATCCATGAGGGTGGGATGTAGAACTCTAGGGCAGTAGGAGGGTGTATCTATGTGAGCTCTTGGGAGGGGGGGGGTTGTGGGGCTCTGGGCCAGTGTATGTGGGGGGATTATGGAGCTGTGGGCCAGAGAGGGCATGTCCATGGGGATGGGGATTGTGTCAGGCTGAGGTAGAGGGGTGACCATGGGGGACAGAGGTGGGGGTTGTCAGGTGGCAGGAGGGGGTATCTATGGGGGCATAGGGGTGCCAGCAGTGCAGGGTGCCAAAGGGGGGGGATGTCCATTGGGATGGGGGTTGTGTCAGGCTGGGGCAGTGGG